AGAGTGATGAGGGTTCCCATAACAAATCAACTGCTGGGGTGAGGTTGTGGTATAACACAAAATGGCTGCCACGGGGAGCATGGCATAACACACAATAGGAGATCACCATCCATGACATCCTTATGTTTAATATGGGAAGCCATCTATGTCCTGCTAGTCCTTACTGTGGAGATCACACAATATTATTTTTTTACAAACACACTGATACTGTCTCTGTCCAATAGCAACAGGAAGCAATCCTCAGCATCAGGGGGAAAATACAAGGTGGCCACCTCACACTGACTCCCATTTATGAGGCCTCTGCCCTAGGGCACTGGTAAAAGTTACCACTGCCACTAAAGTCACTGCCTGAGGTGGGTGCAGAAGGAAATCTTGTAGAAAAGCACCACATAAGGAGCCTATGCAGATGCAGGCAAGAGGAAAACAAACAAGTATGGCTAGGTTTAACCATCACCTAGAGCAGTGTTTCCCAACCAGGGGCCAGGATAATCCAAGGGGGCCACAGGTGAAAATTGTGTAAAGGGGGGGGCACAGCACGAGGCTAGGAGGCCACAGAGGAATCTGAGAAGTGAAGGGGGAACCTTTTTTAAAAAAGAAAAGTTCTGATCGGCTGGCTATCAGCCTGGCCAATCACAAGCGGGTAAGGGGTCGGCTCACCAGGGCCTAGAGCTCCTTTTTGCCATGTGTGTTTTCTTAGATAAGTCCTGGATTGCTTCCGGCGAGAGGGGGGCGATCACTGAGGCTCCAATTTTGACCAGTAGGTCAAAATCCCCAGGTCAGGTGAGTGCGGTGGTGGCGTGGCAATTGGTGAGCCGGAACTGCTTGTTGCTGCTGCCAGTGCTGGGCCTGACTCTGCAAGATGCAGGGTGCAATCCACCCCAGCGCCTAGCCGAGTGGAGTCATCTGGTGCTGCTGACTTGCATCTAGTAAATAACTAAGTGTCTACTCAGAAGGAAGTTGCACTGAATTCAGTGGGCCTTATTCCCAGGTAAGGGTGTGGAGGGGATAGTGTTTTATCTAGGCAGCCAGTGCTCCTCCAGATGACAAGATCTTTTTGCACCAGGTCAGCGAGGAGAACTTGCTTTTTAAAATTCTCCTATATACAGAACTCCCTGCACGCCTTTTGGACTTTTATCTGTAAGTTTTCTCCTCTGTGTCAAATAATTGAGATCAAATAAGTGTTGTTTACTTTTTATACTACATGGAAGATGGATCTTCCTCAGGAGGTTCTGCACTCTCCTTCCTTGGAGGTTTCTAAGCAGAGATTGGATGGCCATCTGTAATGGATGCTTTAGCTGAGTTTCCTTACACTGTGTGGTGTTATACTAGAAAGATGACCCTTGGGGCCCATTCCAGCTCCATGATTCTATGTTTTTCTGCTTCAACAATATTTCATTATGTTCCTATCATGTTATGCAATTGTATTTTGTATACATAATAAAAATTATAAATAAAACAGGTTCTATTTACAAACAAAACATTTAAAAAGCTACCTTTCTACCAGTAGGATGAGGGGGCATGGGCATAGTCAGGATTTTATTAGGGGGGCAGGCTTTTGTTCGGCGGGGCAGAACATCATATTTATATTGATTTTTACTTATTGGAGGGGGCAACTGCCCCCGACCCCCCGGCTACACCCATGGGGGGGGCACAGGAGGGAAACAAGGTCAGAAGAGGGCCATGGTCAGGAAAAGGTTGGGAAACTGAGCTAGGACACCATGATCACTCTTGGTAGAAGGACAGTTGCATCTTGCCCCAACCATTTCCTAAACTTTCTGAGACTGCATTGCTTTGCTATAGGGGAGAGGTTTTCAGAATCTGTCCAAATTTCTGTTGGAGCAACAGAAGTTTTATTTATTACATCTATATCCTACTTTACTTCATTTGACATTTAACAGACATTAAGATCACATAACAGGCACTGAATTAAAAAGCAGATATTGTGATCAATATAATGACCTGTTCAATTACTATATTGAACTTAGGTCAGTTGATCCCTTAACTCCCAAAGAAAAATATGCTTTCTTTCAGTGTGTTCCCCTATGAATGATAAAGTCAGTTAGAAAGCACTTTATAGGTCATTAAGTTTAACCCATCAGATTTTATTATGGGTCTCTCACAGGGTTGTATGCTGTTTGTGCACAAGTAGAACAGAAGGCTAGAAGGCCTTCTGGAGTGGATTTTGGGAACAGGTTGGGGGTGTTATTTAAGGGAAAGGAAGGTTAAGGCACAAATGCAAGTCTACTTATGCAACAATTAATTCTGTCCACAAAATTTTACAACCCACTAGCACAAATTCAAAACTTTCACCAACCCAATCCAAAGTCAATATATGGACTAAGTAAGGCTGTCTCAGCATGTGATCAATACTACATTGTACATACTTTATGTATAAACTAGTGTAGATCGTGGTTAATTATCCCCATAATTCAACTATGAATTGTGGGCATCTATCTTTTTGTCATTCCTCTTTATTTTCTAATGCTGCTTTTTTGCTGAATAAGTTGCACCATGCTTGGTACCCATGTACTGAAGATCTTTGCTTCTATCGGTAGCTCAGTGACAACTTCTTGCCTACTGACAGCCTTCAGTCAAATTATTTAGATGCAACCCTTCCCCACGATATTCTAAAGAGCTGAGTTAAAAATATGCTTCCCCCTCCCCATTCCAGGCCAAAACATGAAAAGGTATGCCTCAAGGTAAAAATGTAAGGTTTTGTTGTTTTTGCTTTGTTTTGCTGCTGCTGGAAGTTGGATGGTAAAGAATGGCAGTTTATATATACAGTGGTACCTCGGTTTACGAACTTAATCCGTTCCGGAAGTCTGTTCTTAAACCAAAGCGTTCTTAAACCAAGGTGTGCTTTCCCATAGCAGTGGGGCACTCAATTTACAAATAGAACACACTAAACAGGAAGCGGAACATGTTCGGCTACTTCCAGGTTTGCAGCGTTCTTAATTCAAGTTGTTCATAAACTAAGCTGTTCTTAAACCAAGGTACCACTATATATAAACCTGTCTAGAAATTAGCTCCAACTGGTGGGTTGGACTCAGTTCCAGATCAGTCTGATCCAAGGTAGGGTGCAAATGCAGTACTACCACAATACATACATATAAAAACATGCACAAACGCACATATGTAGTAAGGGGGAAAATACAAAGAAACTGGGTCCCCAAATACATCTTTGAGTTAAAGGTCCAAAAATGTTGAAGACTACTGTTAGTTTGCTTTAACAATGGTTATTTTAATTATCTTCAGCTCATGATGTCTATGTACCCTCCCCACTAAGTAGGCATTAAATATAGCTATTTTAAAATATTTTTCTAGAATGAGCCACAATTATGACAACTGCTAACAAAAAACACTTTTACAGGGAAAACAATGTTCTACTTTGTGTAAGAAGGCTGTGTGAACATTCTTCACCCACTAACATTTTATAGGCTCATCTGCAAGAAAGGAAAATGAAAAATGTTTACCCTGACTGCAAACTTTGTTTCTCTCAATCTGTTCAACTCCCATATACAACCAAGTGTTTGATGCATAAATCTCATCATCCAAATTTAAAAGGCTTCAAGAAACACTTATAATATATGTTTTACTTAGAGAATAATTGTAAAACACTGTAAGCAACTGTCATTGTTGATTATCATGATAGCATCTCCCACTGCTATTCAGGCAGCCAAAACCAACTTTAAGACATTTCAAAATTAACTTGACTAACATGTTGTACTTTCAACAGCTCCTAAGAACACAGCACTTTATTTAAAAACACAGATCTCTTTATCTTCAGAATCTATTACATTGTCATTCAGGGAGTCAATCTTAGCTGAAAAACAGGGTAAATATATAATAAGCAAGTTTTGTTGCTCTTTTGCAGAGTTAATTTTCCTAATCTAACTATGTTGACTTGGAAGAAAACACTAATGGTTTCAATTGGGCTTCTAAGTAAATAGGATTGGGCAGTAATAACTTAAAATATATAAATACAAGTTTAATTTTGAGAATGGAACTGCAGGTTGATCAAATGCTGACGGTGACAGTTGTTAGTTCATTCACATAAACAGGTAGAGCCAGTTTCTTTGTGAAGGCAACAATTATTTGCCACTAGTTTCCTGACTCAAACGCAACAAAAACTTTTGCTCAAGCCTAAAAAACGTACAACCAAACATCTCCTTTTAAGCATATATGTATGTGTATAAACACTCCAGTACTTTGGCAATCAGCAAGTCAGATATCCTTAAAACAAAAACAAAAACTTTACACATTACAAAAAACAAACAAACCCAGGCCTTCATCTTGGGTGTCCATTGGCTTTCAATCTTCAGCTGAAACAACTATCGGTCAGGAAAGATATGAGGTAATTTATGCTACAAATCACCTCGAAAATGCTCCCTCCCCGTATGACAACCCCACAGAGCGGGGAAAATGTCATAAAAACTGTCCGGTGTCAAAATCCTTACAATATTCAGCTTCATTTATTGATACTGGCGAGACAAAAAAAACAAAACACAACAAGTTTGAAGTTGATACAGAACTAGTATGACGTTGGACTCTTCGGGCGAGTGTGTGTGTATATGTGTGTTCTTAAGACCTTCACGCAATTTATTGTCATTATTATTATTATTATTATTAAATAACAGGCGCTGTACTAGGCAGGCCATTGTCAAGGGCCCGAGGGGAAAGCCGCGATCTCCCCAGAGCCCCTTTCCTGGGGCGGCGGGGGGGGGCCGCCGGGCCCTCTAACCTGCCTCTCCCTTTCCTGGGACGGGAACTTGGGCTCCCCGCCCGCTGACAGCCTCTCCTGAGGGGCTCCCCGGAGGGCCTCCCCTCAGTGCCCGCGGCCCGCTCCCTCCGCCGCCCCACAGACGCCCCTGTGACAAGCCAGGTCGGGCGACGAAGAGACGGGGCTCCCTTGCACGCAAGGCCGCGGCCGGCGGCTCGTCTCGCCGCCAGGCCCCGGTCCCGGCCCGGCGCCGCGACGTCCCTCTCGCTCCCTCACTCACCGGGAAGGCTCGGATCCGCATCTTGGTGTCCTTCCGGCTGCCGGTCCCCTTGCTCAGGTTCGACATCTTCGGGCCCGGCGGGAGCGGAGCCCCCCTTTCCTGAGGGGCGGGGAGAGGGAAACGGGGCCGGGGAGAAGCCCCCCTCAGGCGGCGGCGACCTTCACTCCGAGGGCGGGCGGAGAGGCGAGGTTGAGGCGAGGCAGGCCCAAGTGGCCGTCTGTACGCGGCGGCGGCGGTGGCGGCGGCTCCCTCAGCCTCCTGCGCCTCCTCCTCCTTCTCCGCCGCGATGGCGGCCAAACATCGCTCAGTGCGCAGGGCCGAACAGGCCCCCCCTCCCCTCACGCAGAGACACAGACAGATCCGGCGGGGGCGGCGGCGGCGCAAGAGAGAGAGGAGGGGAGGGAGGAGGAAAGGGGAGGAGCGCAGTCGGCGGGGAGGAGGGAGGAAGGGGGAGCAGAGTGGGGCCGCCAAGTCTCGCGAGAGCTCCAAACGGCTCCCGCGATAATAGGAGGCGCGCGGGGCGGGGGGGGGTGGAGAGGTAAGGAGTGTTGTCTTTCTTCCCACTGACCCTAGGGAAGCTGGAGGAGGCGGGCGGGCGAGCGAGCGAGCGGTGCTGGTGATTGGCGGGTGGTGGCGCGGAGGAGGCGGCGAGTGGGTGGATTTAGCTGTCACGTGCTACGCAGGCGGCGATTCGGGTTTGCACGTAGTGCGGTTGGTCGTTTGTTTCGGTTAAACCCGCTTTTAACCCGTTGCTTGCCTGGAGGCCTCTCTTAGGAAATCACTCGGGAGGTTTGGAGCGCCCCACCCGCCCCAATTCGCCTTGAGTACCTGGCCAAGGGCGTTTGGCTGGCGGTGGACCAAATGGCGCATCTTCTGCTGGGCCCTCATGTAAAACACACACACACATTCGTGGCTGCTGCTGCTGCTGCTGCTATTTCTTCCATAGAACCAGGGACGGGTGCTTGTGACTCTTGGGTTACCTCAGACTCCTTATTCCTAGGAGCCCCAGTCAGCATCGATGGTAGTCAGGGATGCTGAGGGATGTCTCAACACCTGGAGGGTCATAGGTTGCCCGCCTACCCCATGTCTCCCACAAGGCATCACTACTTTTATTAGTTATGATACAGCTGTGTTGCATAAGCAAATAGAAAACAAAACTTTCCCCAACCAGGCATACTTAGGAAACGATACTTTATTTTAGCTTTTGAAAATACTTGACAATACACTAGCTTGTCTACCATAAGGTAATTACAGAAAACAGAATAATACAAACCAGATGAAGGAGCTGCAGAAAAAGCCCATGCAGGTGACTGGGTGAATTAATCCCATGAAAAGGAAAGCCAAGATGTTTTATTGGGCACACACACACACATATGCATAAAGCCAATAAATTAACACAACCTTTAAAATAACAGCTGCATAACAATTTACTAAATAACAATCTACCAAAAGCAGCAGCAACTAATCAATTTATCCGATCAGGTCTCTCCAAATGCCCACCTAAAAAGGTGTACTTTAACTAGCTGCCTGAAACTAAATAGAAGGGGTCCTCCGTAGAGGGGAACCTCCATGTGGGGTGGGCTACCACTGAAAAGACCCATGTGGCTCCATGTACTTCATCCTGCACAGGAACAATGAGGAGCACCTCATCTGCTTCAAATGCACTTCTCCATAGTTTGAGATCATCATCAAAAGCCTTTCTCCAGGTTTTTCCACCATCTAAAGATGTTGTGGGAGCCCATCAGGGAGAGGGACTTTGTCAGTTGTGGCACCCTAATTTTAGAGGCTCACCTGGTGCCCACTCTGATTTTTCCAGCTTCAAGTGAACTTGTTTTGTTTTATTCTGATTGTTTTGATAGTATTTTTAATGCTACTTTTACCAATTTTCCAGTTTTAGCTTATTTTTATTTATGAGTTATCCTACAGTGTTTTTAATATTTTATGATAAGCCATCCAGATAGCGTGCTTGAAGGGAGGGGTATAAATCTTAATTGTAAACTCTGATTGGCAGCTTCCATGGATGCAACAGGACTTTGTCTTCACTCTCATCATGTCTGCTTGAGCCTTCTGCCTACTGCTGTTTGTTCATGCACATTCCCCAAATTATTTTTCAAACTTCTCCTGTTTTTGCACAAAATTTAAATGATCGCACCCATAGAACATTAGTCTTTCACAGATGTCAAGATCATAAAGTACCAAAATTTCGTCCAGTGTAAGTAGAAACCACATATAGCATATATACAGGTCAGCTTGCCTTCATTTGTCATGCTTGCAATAGGCTTTATACTGAGACTGAAAAACAGGTTGTTATTCATTTCAACATGCTAGTGTAGAGCTAAAAAGTTTAGGTCTAAAGATAAATGAGGTGTTTACTGAGTGCCAGGTGCAAAATGAAATCCACAATATGGTAATACATTTATTAAAACAAAATGTCAGGAAATAGTACTGCTGTACTATTTTGGACTTTTTCCCCTAATAGACCAACATGGCTGCATATGTGTGTGTGTTTTTCAGTGACTGGGAACTTAAGAGGGCTGAAATTTGCATTGAAATTCAGAATATAATATATGTATGATTCATGGACTGGATATGACACATGTAATTTATGTATTATATTTTGTATTTGTTTATATGTATATATAATGATAAACCAATAAAAATTCATTTTGGGGGGAAAAATGAAATTCAGAATGTGAAAATTGTTGGAAGTCAACAGTATTATTCCATATGCACATTGATACTTTGCAGTATTGAAAGAAGACTCTCATAAATGTTTTGAATGGTGTCGCTAAGAACAACAGCAAATCCATATTTTTGTCAGTTTGGAGTTGGATAATTTGTGAAATGAAGTGAAATGATAAGAAAGGATTGTAGGCCTGTCTCAGATATATATCAGTGCTAAGACACTTTGGAGATGGTATGAAATTTGAAATGATGGAATTGATATATGAAGGCCCTTTTCCAAAAATTACAGTTTGTCATGATTATAGCAAATAGGTTTCAAGAGGGTTTTTGCAACTGATACAACAGAGGCTGTTTTAGTTCAATCTGTGCAGCAGCACTGGGTGTTGGGCTGCAGGGGGCACCACAACAATGCTGTAGAATGGAGCCTGAGAGGTGGGGGGGAGCACCAAATTTTAGCATTGCTACTGAAATTTCAGAGCCCAAAGTCCACTACTGGATATAACCTCTGAAGTCACATGTTTATACCAGTTGTACCCAACTAAGTGAGTCATATCCATTATTTTCAATGTGTCTACTCAGAGTAGGAGTAACATTGGATACAATGCACTGTAGCCATATATCCTATTATGTTGAAAGTCACTTCTGTGACAGTCAGTAGGCTGTCAAGAATACACCAGTGATCAAATATCTGGAGGGTACCATGTTGTGGAAGGCTAAACTAGAGTGAGATGATAGGGCCAGCTTTTTGTACAAGGCAGAGAGAGTGATATCCAGCAGATTTGAGCTCCAGTACCAATTATTTTAGACAATAAGAACTTTGTAAATAAGCAGCCTTCAGGCTTGTGAAGATGGATAGGTATGCATCATATTATTCACATGTGCAGCATTGACTGCAGTGAAAACATTATTTTGCCTGAAGTGAAATGTATATTTGAGTGTTTGTAACTCAGCATTGTTCATTACACATATACAAAGTCTGGCTTCCTGTTATTTGAATCTGAGGGTGCATATTCAAGATCACACCTCCGATGTCTGCTTTAAATAACTCATAATAACTAACTACCTCTGCCTGGTTTCCTGTTTGTTATCACAAATGTGAATCAGAATCTCCTCATAACTTATAAGCATACATTGGAAGAGCAGGAGGAATTCCAGCCCTTTCCCACCCTTCAATTACTCTGGTTGATGGGTTATGGATGCAAAGGTCTTGCAAAACTATGTTAAGGGAACATGACTCTACAGTTTTTGTGACCTTGTACATTCTTTTCGGCTGTGTACATACTGACCCGTTTGTAGCGCAACAATCTATTTTATTTTCATTCCAGAATTGCTCATGCTTGTCCTCAGCGTGCTGTTTTCAACCTAGATAAATTCTAGATTCTGTGGTCCATGAAGGTGTGGTTACTTGGTACACATTTTAAAAGCCTCCCTTGATTAGGTTACCCATGCCTCTTCGTCCCTACACATGCCCCAGGTGAATCAAGAATGAAGTAGTGATTGTGATCTTGGTATACACCCACCCACAACATCATTGGGCAGGTGTGGATGCACAACCCCCCAATTGCCAGGATATCCTACATGATCTGTTTCAAACTCCTGACCCACCAGTGGAAGAACAATGATCCAAATCTCATAGCCTAAATACACACAAATAGAAAATCACAGTTGCAGAAAGTAAACAAACAGTATATTGCAACCAACAGGTCACACCAAGCTGGCACACCTCAACTGAAACTGCTCTGTATGCCATGCAATAGAACTATAAGTATTATTTTGCAGAGATTGCATATCATGCTCTTATTAGTGCCACCAAAAAAGGCATCAACATAACAAGCTGCTAGACAGCTTGCCTCCACACTGGAATTTTGATAATGTGCTGTGGGCACCAGGCTGGGGTCATGGGGTTATGGCATAATACCTGCCCTATCTTAACAAGCGGATGCCATCTACCCTCTGAACTGTATTTAAGCCAGGCTGCTTGGAGTACAGCAAGACTAGTACCAGAAACCTAATTGTCAGTTGACTTGTTTTGCTTTGTATTTATGTACTTAAGACTAGATTCTTAAGGGATTTTTATGTAATATGGAATTTATACTGTTTTTGCCGCATGGTTGATTTTTGTCATCTTTTAATTTAACCATCATCTTCTGTATTTTGCATGTTTCCGAGTGCTCTGTATGTTGATGCTTTGAACGTTTGCAGTAGGACACAGCTCATTGTGGAAAAGTGGCATATGACTAAATCAAACAAAAAGACAGGACTACAGAATTGTGTGGACATGCCCCCAATCAGCTGCCCCATCAATGAGGGAAAAGGCAGCTGCCGCCACACACAATCAGAAAGAGAAGCTCTTTGCGCGTCTTCTCAGTTCAGAAGAGATGGGAGGGTGGGTGTCCAATTCTGGCCTCCAGTAAAGAGTGTACATGTTTAAGGGACATGTGCAATGGAGAAGAATCTGACTTAGTGCAAACAGGAACTGAGCAGGAAGAGCAAAATATTTTTGAGTGGATATTTACTAAGATCTTTCAATAGGTACCATAGGAGTTAATGGTGCCTGTGAATGCTGCATTGGTGATCTATGCAATATGTTAAGCAGTTCTTCTTCCCTATCACATTAATTATTTTCATTTTCTCCATTTTTTGCTGTCTTGCAATTGTTCTTAGAAAATGATATATAAGTATATATTGTTTAACCAATGCATTTAGATTGCAGTCCTGTACATACCTACCTGGAAGCCGGA